CACTATGGCAATATTGTCATGTCTAACTAACTCCCATGCACATTCCTCCTCCTCCCCCCCCCCCAGTATCATCTAACTCTAAGAGTAAAGCATAAGGAAGAAAAAAGCTGCATCTCCATATGTTGTCCAAGCAAGAACATCCGGTGTTAGCAGCGTTGACAGAAGGGAGCTTTGAGGCAGACAGGCAGGAAGAGTTCCCTAAAAAGGGATGGGCCATTTTTTTAAAGCCCAGAGCAAACAAGGTCATACAGGTAGTCCTCGGCTTACAACCACAATTGAGCCCAAAACGTACGTCGCTAAGTGAGAAATTTGTTAACGGAGCTGTGCCCCCTTTTCCTGCCACAACTGTTAAGCGAATTGCTGAAGTTGTTAAATGAGTAACCCCGTTGTTAAGCGAGTCTGGTTTTCCCATGGACTTCACTCGTCAAAACATCCCAAAAGGGGATCACGTGACCCCGGAGGGCTGCGGCCGTCATAAATATGAGTCACTCGCCACCGGATTTGGATCACATGACCGTGGGGACGCCGCAACGCTCGTCAGTGTGAAAAACAATCGCAAGTCCCCTTTTTCAGTGACAGTTGCAACTTCTAACGGTCACTAAACAAGCTGTCGTAAGTTGAGGACTGACCTATATTTGAGAACGCTCGCGCAGATGCCTCCCTGGTTCACGGACGCTAAGAAAGAAGAGGAGGCTTAGGGCAGTTGCAGGTAAGTCCCCAACGTACGACCGCAACTGAGCCCGAAATTTCTGCCGTCGCGCAAAACGGTTACGAAGTGAGCTTTGCCCCATTTTACGGCGTCCCTTGCCGCAGTTGTTAAGTGAATCACTGCAGGGGTTGAGTTAGTAACACGGTCGCTAAGTGAATCCGGCTTGCCCCATTGGCTTTGCTCGTCAGATGGCCACAAAAGAGGATCACGGGACTCCGGGACGCTGCGACCGTCCTAAATACGAGTCAGTTCCTTAGCGTCTAAATTTTGATCGCGTGACGGTCGTAAGTGTGAAAAATGATCATAAGTCGCATTTTTCGGTGCCGCGGTAACTTCAAACGGTCGCTAAGCGATTGTACGTTGAGGACTAGCGGTCCTTGCAGGAGTCTGTCGCAGGGTCGTCCTCCCTTAACAACCGCTGGCAAATCAGTCACTAAGCGATACGGTGGGAAAGATCACGCGGCGTTGTGTCGAATTTAGATCGCCTCCGCTGTGGCCCTGAAGGAAATTGGCAGCTTTGCTTCGAACTTCCCGGTTGCCTTTTTGCCTTGCCGACTTCTCTTCCCTTCGCTTCGTTTAGCGCCCGTCCTCTGCACGAGGTCTCCCCTCCGGGATCCCTGGCCAGCTTTGAGGAGCTGTTCCCGCGCTACACCAGCCTGCGCCTGGGTCACTTCCACGATCAGGTCTCGCAACCGGATCCCCGCTTGCTCAAAGACGCTTTGGAGAAAGAACAGGCCCGGCGGAAAGTGAGTCGGACTCGGGGGGGCGAGGGAACCACCGCAGGGTTGCAAAGCATGGTGGGTAAGCGAGGGCACGAGGGGGCTGAGCCACGTTGCCCTGAAGCAGGCGCTTTCCTAACGGGCCTTGAGAATGCTAGTTTGGGGTGCCTCGTTCGTCTTCAACCCAACCCCCTGAGGCAGGGTGTCCAACTGAGCCAATGAAAGAGCTGTGGACTTCAACTCCCAGAATCCCCCAACCAGGATACAAGTTTTAAGATGTGTAGACTTCAAAAACAGAGGAATAATTATTTGATGATCCAAATGCACTGAGTTGGAAAGATAGATGAGATAGATAGATAGATAGATAGATAGATAGATAGATAGATAGATAGATAGATAGATAGATAGATAGATATAGATCGATCGATCGATTGATCGATCGATCGATCGATAGATAGATAGATAGATAGATAGATACATGATAGAAAGATGATAGATGATAGAGATAGAATATAGATAATAGAGATAGATAGATAGATAGATAGATAGATAGATAGATAGATAGATAGATAGATAGATGATAGAGATAGAATATAGATGACAGATAGATAGATAGATAGATAGATAGATAGATAGATAGATAGATAGATAGATAGATGGATACATGATAGAAAGATGATAGATGATAGAGATAGAATATAGATGATAGAGATAGGTAGATAGATAGATAGATAGATGGATGGATGGATGGATGGATGGATGGATGGATGGATGGATGGATAGATAGATAGATAGATAGATAGATAGACAGACAGACAGATAGATAGACAGACAGACAGATAGATAGATAGATAGATAGATAGATACATGATAGAAAGATGATAGATGATAGAGATAGAATATAGATAATAGAGATAGATAGATAGATAGATAGATGATAGAGATAGAATATAGATGACAGATAGATAGATAGATAGATAGATGATAGAGAGATAGAAGATAGATGATAGATTAGATAGAGATAGAATATAGATGATAGATAGATAGATAGATAGATAGATGATAGATAGAAGATAGATAGAAGATAGATGATAGAGATAGAATATAGATGACAGATAGATAGATAGATAGATGATAGATGATAGAGATAGAATATAGATAATAGAGATAGATAGATAGATAGATAGATAGATAGATAGATAGAGATAGATAGATAGATAGATAGATAGATAGATAGATAGATAGATAGATAGATAGATAGATAGATAGATAGATGGATGGATGATAGAATATAGATGATAGAGATAGATAGATAGATAGATAGATAGATAGATAGATAGATAGATACATGATAGAAAGATGATAGATGATAGAGATAGAATATAGATGATAGAGATAGGTAGATAGATAGATAGATAGATAGATAGATAGATGGATGGATGGATGGATGGATGGATGGATGGATGGATGGATGGAT